CGCAGATAGCCCTCGTGTAACAAACAAACAAACAAACGGAAAACCGAGTTTGTAATAGAATTAATTACAATTATATTATGTAACATTTTGTTTACAAATCATAAGGGTATTTTTACCACCGTAATGTTTATGGCATTATCTATTTTAAGTTGTAGGAATGACAGAAAACATTGAAATAATATTTTTTTATGAAATGATGCAAAATGCATGCTATTATAATCTATAATAATCAGCTGTTAAGCAAAAATGTCAGGTTGATATGATTTACATTTTATTATTTTTGTTTTTGCACAACACGGGTTTGTTCTTATTAACGCTCTTGTAATGTGCAGCACATAGATTTGTTCGATTAAGAATGTTCAGATTAACGTTTATTCTGTGTCAGTCGTAGTTAATTACTAAAGTAAACGTTGCAAAAGGCGTTGATCCTTTGATCGTATGTGGGTGTCTAGTTGACAGGCCTGGAACAGGTTTTCTTTGGACTCTGCGAGCTGTATGTGTAACCTTGCTGGTATAGGGAATCCCTAACGTTAATCACCAGTACAGGAAACACGGGTTGTAACAAAACGCCAACTAGTTCTTTGTGTTAACTTTCACGTTCCAGCATATCCGCCTCGGTAACCTCTGCTTCTCGAACCTCGCATCACGTTACCCCGAGGCAGCTTTCTGGTTCACCCCCGCGATTTTCTGTGACCCAGTCAATTGCGCTGGTTGAAATTCGTGCGCCTGAGTTCTGTGAGCCGAATAGCTAACGCCATCCGTGATACCTCCGATAAAGCTCAGTTCTAGACAAGATTAAGATTTGACCGCTTGCCAATTTTCCTCTTACATGTGAGCTTCCTTAGTCGTCGCCTTCTGTTAGTTATCTTTGCATTGGTGTGATAATGAACTGTTCTGACACGATCTTACCGACGTGAACCGTAATTTTATCGTCTGTTGCTTGTCTGTCACGTGATCACTCGTTATACCTTCACCATTCTGTTCTCAGACGTGGCAAATTTTGCCTAATCACCTTTAATAAAATTTTAAATAATAGAAATACAGTATTCGGCGCCAAAATGAGACTTATAATTTACTTTGTTTGAAGACTGTATTATAATACCTTTGTTTTTTGTTTGAAAAACTAAATTTATTGATCAAGCAGTTTCACATATTTTCATTAATGCATATCTATAGTTATTGTGATTGGTTAGATAACAATGAAATTGGGTCGTTACTTTTTTTTTAATTGAGCTTTCACTGTATTGTGCTGAGGTTTCAAAAATGTTATGTAGGCGAGTTTGTAGCAGGAAGCGTGCTAAACGGGTTCTAGTAATTATAGGGCTACATAGGACCCCCCCACAAGACTACAAGGACCAAATTTAGTCAAAAGTATTTGCATAAATAGCGCTAACGTGAGTTGCTATGGCAATTACCACATAGGACATAAATAACTCCGTATACGTCCATATTTAGTAACAATTGGGCCAAATTTAAATCCAGGAAGATTTATATTTACCAAAATTCTGTGGAAATGGGAGATAGTTATGCAAATTTCTGTGTGGAAGCTGGTTTTGTAAAGTATAACGTTTCAACTTAAGCTTATTACATGTGCTAGGTAATCCCGTAAGGTTACAAAATGTCTTAGAGGTTAATTTTTCTTAAAGGCGCTGATTTTCCTCACCTTGAAAAGATAGCTCGGTTTCTGCCCTTAATGTCGGCATAGTACCGTGTTTCCTGAGCAGTTATATCTTGTTAGAAGCTGGATATACTATTCTAATTTTGATTAACATTAGGTCTATACTATCAGTGAAGGATTTTTATATCCTAAATATGAAAGGACATTATTTAAAAAAATAAGTTGTCTACTTATATTTACCAAAACGAATTGGAACTTGTGATCTAAAGTGTTTTTTGTGTCTCATTAACTACATGAATCCCGCACCTCTACGGCGCTGTAAACAGCTGCAGTGTTGTCCCGTAAACCAGCGGTGTCTGCTGATTATGGTCGACTACGTACTTCGCGTGTTCGAAGTGTAGCTAGCTTGTTTGTGGCATATTTCTCCCGTGTCAAGTGTGAGCCACATCGATCGACTGTCGTGGCTTGTTTGCCTTCTTTGCGTGCCCAAGCTTGTTATGCTAGCTCTAAATAATCAGATTTACCGGCTTTCCGCCTTCCCTCTCGCCACACGCGAGCGGTAATTTCCTTTTCTACTAAGCTGGGCTCGGTGTTTTTTTTTATTCTTCCATCTCCCCCCCGTTCACTCTATGTATAGTCGTACTACGGAAATCGATACGTCAGTACAGTCTTCTTTCAGTTGCTATCTGCCGACATTTGTTATTGTTTGTCGCCATGGTGACAGTAAGAATGACAGACGATCCCCTCTAAAGTTTGAAGAACAGTACTCATGTGTAGTGGTTACGGGTGTTTGCGTAATGTCTGGAACTTATGACTTTTAATGTGAAGTCATTTTTTTTTCCAGTTGTGGCCTCAAAAATGCAGAATATAATTAATGATAAAATAAAGGATGCTGTCCGATGGCAATTTTTTTGTCAACTTTATCCAATTATTTTGTTTAATTGTTATTTTACTCCTTAAGTATTGCCTAAATGTTTCAATATAATTGTTGTTTTTAAACTGTTTATCTTGCTCTTTTGTCTTTGTAACTTCAGTAGTTGGGATGGAACTGTCTTCAAATTCAATAAATGAATTTGCCAGCAGTGGTCTAAAACCAGCTTTGTATTAGAGAGTGCCACTGAAAACAACAAGTTTTGTTAAAGTCGTTAAGAATAAATAAATTTAAAAATCATTTATCTCGCTAGCACTTTGGATGATTTACATCTAAAACTCTGCAGCATTTACTGTTAAAAAATGTTCTCTTAATCATTGTCATTAACGTTTTACAAAAGTTTTGAAACAAGATCCGAAATAATTCAAAACGAATTTGAAAGCTTTGTATACAAAAAAACAACAACATAAATATAGTAATTTCATAAATTTGTAACTAGATATTTGCCATCTAATATGACAAAAGCATAAAATTTGGGTGTGGCTAGAAATTCCACCAAGGTTTAATGCTCAATAGGTATTTTAGAAATGATTTTCAAATATTATTTGAGAAAATAACCCACTATAATAATAAAAAAAATCACTGCCAGGGTTTTAATGTGGCATAATAATAAAAAATCAATTAGTACATTGGGAAAATTTATATATTATTGAAACTGGATATGGCAGATAAGCATGGTTGACATATATTCCTTGCTTTCACTCATAACTTCTTAGAATTTCATAATATTTAGCAGAATACGTACCACTGGAGGATCTGAACATATAAAACATGTTAAAATGCTAAATTTAATAAATATATATGTAAGTTTACACAGCTACTTGTAGAGAAGCTGACCAACTGGAGGATATGTTCTTCAGACATCTCTAAAATTATACCAGTCATAAGTATAGAATTAAAGGCATACATGAGTGATACAGCTTTTGTTAGATATTCCTTTGTGAGATTTAGTTTAAAATAATTGTCAAAAATGTGCCAACCAGAAAGATTTTAGAACTAATGTTGCACCTTTATTTATTTATTTATTTCAGAAATTACAATAGGTCTTTTTTATCATTTCAAGCATAACAAAATGTGACCCGATTTCAATGAAAATGATTCCCTTATGTTAAAGTACATATGACGTTTTGTGAAAAATTTGTATGTGGTGAAGAAAAATGGATATCATTTTCAGATTCAGTGTACAGGAATTACCGTAGAACATGTAAAAATTTCAAAACAATAAAACCATCTCGGGCCTGTGTAATTGTTAGTTTGGTCTGGTTGAGTGATCATACTAGGAACTGTGGGTGGGCCATGTAGTAGAATTCTTGATTTTAGAGCTGAAGAGTCTGTAATACCACAAAATATTCCCCTACTTTAAGCTGTGGGTGCTTTATAAGAGTGACAGTCAGCCCCTTAACATGGATGATAGGGTGTAACTAACAGGCTGTCATCCCTCTGGTCAGGTGTTAAAAATTAGGGACAGCAGCAGGTATACCCGTAGTAGTTTCACCATAAATGCAAAGTACAGGGGCTAGGAAGCAAGAAGTAATTTTTACTACTCACAACATTGAGAAACAAATTTTATAAATATTTGTGTCAATCTAATGTGTGAGTATTTGCAAATAAATATTTGAAACTTTCTTAATATGATGCTAGGTCTAATATAGTCTTAATATCACTTCTGACTCTTAATTAAATTGTGGTCAAGTCTGAGCTCATTATATTTCAGGATAATAAATTTTTGTATGGAGTGGAAACAGCTTAAATATATATTTTTAACATTAGTCCTCTACTCAGTCTAAAATTAGAAATGTACAAACTGCCAAGTTTTGGTGTCTTGTGCAATAGCATTTGCTGATCTGGCATACAGCTTACTGCTAAAATAAATTGTGTTATGTTGATAACAAATGATCCAACCAAAGGAGAATTTCACAAGATTCCATGCACTCTGTGTAGGCTGCTGAGTATTTTTATTCCAGTGAATTTATTTTTAGAAAATCAATACTTGAGGGACTAAAATTGATTTGTCCAATTTACATGACTATAGTACTATACTTTATGTGGTTGTATTAGCTAAAAAGCTATCTTGTTGAAAACCAGAACCTTTCTGGGCCAGAGATCTATCTCATTGCATTTGTCTGAAATGCTTATGTTTGATATATATGTACTGTGATGTGAATATCCATTAGTGTAAATTTTACATACTTGAATGAAGGGTACTCTTATCTACCTGAACTTTAATTTTGTTAAATGGTAAAAGTAAGTATCGATATAATTGCTAATTTTCATTTGTACATCTTTATCTCTTTTTAGTAAAATATTGAAAAATTAGTGTATTTTTCCTCATTGCTTTCGTAAGAAAAATTTGTTTTAATTACAGATAAATATACCTGAAAAAGCTTAAAATTTTTCAGTTTGTTTTGTATTATAAAATAAACTTAGGCTTTTATTGTATTTTCCAACTAGGATTGAAAACTTTGAGACAACTTTGTGTAGTTTGATAAATAAAGAAAAAGAAGGCCCATTACATATTCAGGACTGCAGAGTAGGTGGTTGGAAGGAGCTTAGTCCAGAGGATAAGGTAACGAAAACAGTTTATGGTAAAAACTGCATGTAAAATATGAGAAGAGAAAGTGTTGTGTTATGGTAAAGAAACCAGTTTACTTAAAGAAAAAGTAATGTAAGGATATTGTTGTGTTCAGAAGGTATTGTATGTGGAATAACTGGATTTGTGAAACTGTGTTAGGTGGGAGTGTGTTGTATTTCATTGCTGGGACTGTATACTTTTAGTTCATTTTGGTTGGATTCTGTTATAGATTCTTGCCCATAATCTTGTGGAATAAAATGCCACTCTTCTTTCCAAGTAGCTTCATTCAGGTGAAATTTTGGAGTCTGTCCTTTATGTGGCAAGTGCAATAGTCTCTAGGATATATATATAAACAAGACATTTCTAGTTCCTTTATGTATTATCGGTGAACCAAGTCCTAACCAGCATAGATAAGTGACACAGTGATATTCTTTCATCATTTCTTATGGTTAGAATGACACAGTGATGTCTAAAAGCGTGATCTTCAGAACCTCATGTTGGATGTCCAAGGCATCAGCTGATGTCTCGCACTCACAGTTATGATGAGCAACTCGTGGGCTGCACTAGAGAAATTCAGGAACAGGGAGCTTCTTTCTCACATCGAATATGCTGATCTACAGGGATTGAGTGTTGGATTTAATGGCAGTTCCATTTCACAATATTTTTTAAAGTTTGTATGGAACACAGAATAAGTAATTTTGAGTGATCTGGTTGATTCTGTGGTAGCATGCTTGATAGGTTTTCTTATCTGTAACACTCAACTGAAAGTAGATTTGAGTGCGAGTCGGTGGGCTGAATTGTTTGAGACACTTATACCACCAATGCTGCTTCCAGTAACTGTTACTTTTGGAAGACCTGTGCACTTTTTCTTGACTCTAACTGACTGTGTATGTGACAGCTGCTAACTTTATAAATTGCGTTTAGCAGTCCACTATGGGTTTAACATGTAAATTCAGTGGGGATTGAATCATTACTTGCCAGGGGTATACTGTTTGTGTAATTCTGATAATAGAAGATAAATAAAAACATCATGCTGTACAGTAGGTCACCCTTTATTTTTAAGAAACAATTTTACTTCACGAAACTGTGATAGCTAGGAATTGTTGCCTTATAAAAGATTTATCTAAATTGGTGAAATATCATTACCGGCATTCTTTATATTGAGTTTGTGTTATTTAAAACAAAAAAGAAAGAAGATATCCTGAAAAATTATACATATACTTGTATAACAAATGCTGTAGTTAATAAGGTTTAATTTTTGATGAAGATTAATGAGATCAAGCTAATTATTCTGCTGATTTAATTTCTTTGGAAAAAGTCTTTGCAGTTTTTGTAAGCTTTGAGATCAGGCAATGTATGTTAATATAAGCGTGAATCTAGTTGTGGTCAAGTGTAATTTAAGTTTATACGGACTGGGATATCATGGAGATTTTTGTTCTTTCTAAAAGACTGATAGTACATAGGAACATTTCTTTGTTAATTTAGAGTTTTTGAAGGTACAGTGGCATGAAGAAAATATGGGGATAAATTAAGTATGAATTTTGTTTTGTAGAAGGAGTTATTGTATGTAAAAAGTTTTCAAGTATTTAGCATTGGCTATCTAAGTTAAAGAAAGAAAGTTAATGGAACATTTTCAGTTGTATTTTTATAGTATTTGTATCTAGGACCTGGATTTCAATTTCACTAATAAGGACATTTGAAAAGCTAGGGGCTATATTTAAATCCACGGGTGTAATGTTATGGTTTAACTTGTAGTTGTGTAAGGTTTGTAACAAGTATGATAATATTAGTGTATTTTCATGGGATTTGATGGATTCAAATTAGTTTCCATATTTCCTATGAAGTAGTTGTGTATAGGGTGAAATGATCCTAGTATATAAATTGCTTTTGAGAAGCTGCAATCTTGTATGTATCATTAATTTTGATACAATGAGTTGTTACTAGGGCTAGGTGATTAAATAAAATAATCTATATAATCAATCACCTATGAGCATTTATTACACTGATTAGTGTCACACAAAATAATTAGTGTTTCCAATTATTTCAACTATCCAAGTTATCAAAATATTGGCATTATAATTTCTCTGTTCTTTTTGATTAATTTATTTTGTTCAGTTTCATGACTCAAGAAACTAATGAATGAATCAAAATCAGCGTTTCTGATTATTCTAACTATCCAAGTTTCATGCAAGAATAATCTATTAATTGAATGAATCAATTAGTATGCTCAACAATTAACTGACTAGCAATTCCACTAATCGTCTAGTTTTACGTGTGACTTTGATATTAGAATGTAGTGTTGTATGGGTGACTTTTTATATAGTGATCAACATAAGTAGGTAATATTTTGGCTGCCATATTTGTATTATAATTATGAAATAACTGGCAGTGGGGACCATGTACTTTGAGTGGTAGGATAGTTGGTTTTATCAGTTCAGTTGGTTTTGAGAATTATTTTCAATTTCTTACTGATGGTGCTAGTGAACCGAGATTAGAAATTAGATTTCTGTGAGAATAAATATTCTCATCTCTGTAGTCTGTTTTAACAATGTGTTATTTTGGTTAAGTTAAAATCCATTATGCACTATTATCTGTTGGTATTATTACAATAATCTTTGTACAAAACAAAATCCTTATGTTTTGTATGGTTTGAAAGTTTGAATAGTGTTTCTTTCATTGATAGAAATGTATCCATGTAAAAAGGGTTCTTTGTAAGATAGGTAGCTTATCTCTTTATTGTTTCTATACTTGCTGGAAAATTAATGACACACTTTACTTGATATACTTTGTCATACAGTGTATTGGTTCCTCTTAGATTTAGGTGGTTGGAGGTAGCTGCAGTTATGAAGGATGTTGTTAGACATGACCAGTAGATACTGCCGATGCAAGGAAGCATCGGCATAATAATAGGGGTAGTCCATGTAGATTTTTTATCTCGATTTGGTTCAGTGAAATATCACTAGGCTAAAATGTACTTTTGCTGACTAACAGGTGGCGTGACTGTCAATCTTGATAAGAGATCCAGTCTATCTGCAGCAAGTGTACCCAACTGATGAAAAATGCATTGTAATCTTTATAAGTGAGAATGTAAGAAAAGTATATTTAATTAGCTATACTCATTAAAAGGTTGATTTTTTTAGTTTCACTGTATGTATATAGCTTCTTCTGATTGAAAGTTAATAATAATGGTCTCTGTCTGGTCTCACAGTCACCTTACTTTATGTTTTTTTGTTGTACTGTGACAATCCTTGAAATATATGTTTTGGGTGCCTAGTGTCAGTGTTTCACAAAATTAGCTGCATTCATGGTCCTTCAAAAGACACTGATCAAATTGTCTTGGAGAACGGAGATTGTAGCATCTTCTGTATTCTCTATAACCCACTGTGTATTTGTGTTAACTTGTTCTATAATTCATGATAAGTTTCTTCTTTAAAATGGTCACGTACCTGGTTATTTGCTTTTCTATTTTACTGTCATGTTTTGAATTTCCAGTGTAGTTTATGGTTTGACTTTTTCTTGAATATTTTCTGACATGAACTATGAATACTTCTTAAATTTTAGTTTTATTATGAGTTTTATCTTTTCATTCATTTGTCTCATCTTTTTAATTGTCTATTATGTTCTTCACATCATTTTTGAAATATCTTAAAAACATTTTTTCAGTGTAACATACAAAACTTGTTGCATTTTTAGTGCTGATCTAATTGAGATGGAATTAGTATCACTTCAATGGCATTCTTTTGGAGATTGATAGATGACCCATAGACTTAATGACAAATAAAACTAAGTGATTTACTTAAGAAATAAAACTTATTCAACTTGTAAAATATTCAGTTGTAACTTTTACAATTCAACAAAAATTGCTGTTAAGACTTAGTGAACTGTTGTTTAACATTTGATAAATATTCACCTCCTCCCATCACTTCCATATATATAAAACAAGATTAATATTACAGATGTTTATAAGTTACTCGTATGGATGTTTTGTATTTATCATAAAAGTTTTTTAATTTTGACCAGACAATAGATCTAACTCAGATAATTAATTGTTTTATTTAGCCTTCATTTCCATTGACAAGATTAGTTTCTGTATAGAATGGCCAAAAAATTTAAATTTTTTTGACATTTTAAACAAACTAATGATAAAATTTCTTTAATCTCCATAAAACCATTTATTCTTTGTAAACATTGAAAGATAAAAAATTGTTTTAGTTAGTTGTCATGTTTTCATGTTTTTATTCAATACATTTTTTAAATAATGCTTATGATTTGGTAATTTACCAATCTGATCTAGGAAATAGAAAATAACATTTTAAAAGTTAAGTGTGAAGATTCTGATCAAAGTGTTTTTATGAAATTAACTCAATTTATTAAAAGTTGCTCACTTGCAGACTGATGCAGTTTAATATTTTAAGATAAAAAGTAAGATATATATATATATATATATATGTTGTAGATTCATAGGATTAATAATTTGGAAGCTTAATCATGTGTACACTTTTAGTAACTCTTCTGCTAGAGGTTACTGCATGCTGTCATAAGCTTAAAACCCAAGTTATCTTTAAGCTAATGCACAGAACGTTAAGAGTTGTAATTCATTACTTATGTTGCTCTCTTAATAGATGTGAAATAATGCCTGATCTGAGAAAAAAAAAGGACTGAGGTAGTAATAAGGAGTATTTTATGCAGGGTTATTCCTGTGTATAGATAAAATAAAATAAACATCCAATTGTCCTTTAACTTTTTATGGAGTTTAATTTTTCAGTTATTTCATATTCAATGTGTGAAATTTTAATTTCACAATGCTGCTATATTCCAACTTTCAAGTTTCTTGTTAGACAATGGAAAACTATGTGTAATAAATAAGTCTTGTGATGCAAGTTCTAGATTAAACTTAGTCAGTATTTGAAATATTAAAAATGTGCAGTAGAATCTCGGTCAGTATGTTGTGCTTTTGCAAATAAATTAGATGTGTAAATATCTCATAGGTGTAACAAGTAAGGGATAAAGTGCTATGCTAGTTTCACTTGAAGTATTAAATTATTGTTGTTTATTTTTTCTGCTATTAAAGTATTTTGGTTTTCTGATGACTTTTACTTGTGTACTTTTCCTTTAAAAAATATCAACTGAGTTTATGTTTCATTTAGTTTGATCAGATTAAGCCTGACCTTTTGTAGCTTTATTAAAGAGATACTACTTATAAGCAAAGTTCTTCAACAGTAGTCTGTTTATGAGTTTCATTTCCAATTCTTGTTGCGAATGTAAGTAAAGTAAGTCAAAGGTTTACATTTTAAAGAATAGAACAATTCCATGACATTTTTCAAATTTTCCATCATTCCATGGGCTTATGTTTGTTAAGAATATAATGTGGACTTTTAACATTAATTTTTGTTTTTTTTACAGCTGGGTGTTTTGAAGTGGTTGGTGGACCATGTGTACGAGAAGAAAGAAGAGGATCTTGCTGAATATTTGGATGAGAATTATAACTCAGATGATTTGGTACATGAGTAAAAAAAGAAATTATAATAGTAGATTCAAATAAGATATTCAAATCGAAGGATAGCAAAACTAATAGTCTTCTTGATAACAGAAGTCTAAATAAAATATAAAGGAAATAAAAAATTAGCTTTGGAATTTGTCATCTCATGGCTTTTGTATTTAATGTTAATATTTCAGAGGTGTAACTACAAGATAAAATAATTATAGATGTCTTTTAGATATCATGTTAAAATTTTATCATTACTCGCATTCTTCCATTGGCCTTCTATGCTAGAATATACAATTTTGTGTGTGTGTGTGTGTGTGTCTGTCTTGGATTGTGAGAAGTTAAGTGATATGTTTATGATGTCAAAGTGCAAGAAATATTTTTGTTTTTTGGATAGAAAGTGTGATTAAAGATCACACTGCTGTTAATTAATCAAATACAAATTTCCAGTAAAAAACAATACGTTTTTATTATGCCAAAAACCGGTTCCGTATCCATGATTGCTAGAACACAGATAACCCATTCTGTAACTTTGTGCTTAGTAACAAAACAAACAAATAAAACAATATTACTTCATCTACACACGTATTGTCATTATTTATTATTATAAAAGTAACAAAAATGAAAAATTAGAAACTTGTTAGGGTAAATTAGGTAAGATAATGAAAAATAATAACAAGAATAATAATTCTTTATGGGTTATGCTTGCCAGCCACTTGTGCATTATGTAATTCAATATGGTAACTTGAGCTACACATTTTCCAAATGATTTACAACTTGTGTGGTGGAATTATTAGATAGATATGGGTCAAAGGGCAATAAAACAATAAAATTTAAGTATAAACAGATGTAACCTCATACCAACTGTAAGCTATTTAGGATAAACAATTGTATTTTCCTGTTACAATTTGCAGTCATTCCAGAAAGGAAAAAAAGAATAATTTAGATTTATTTCATATTTTTTTTATGGTGGTTACAAGGTCAGTCAAATTGACCAGATGTATATAGAGTTAGGGTAGAGAAAATGATTGATAAAATGTAAAAGTTTTTCTGAAAAAATGTGTCATATTTAGTTAAGAGGTTTTAGAGATTATGCAAATGAAATTTGACAATTTCAGACGAGGAAAAGTATTTTTAATCTTAACATGAAAATCACTTTGGTTTGGAGCAGTCAACACTATAGCTCCATATGTTCATGGACAAATTTTTAGCAGAAACTTTTAAAAATCTGATTTTTTGTGTATAAAAGACTTGTAATCTTTACTGAAAGCTTGCCACATTTTGTGAAGATACACAAAACATTAAAAGTTATAGTATGGAAACTGAAAGTTACTTTGGGGGGGGGGGGACAAGCCTATAGCAAGAGGGTAAACTGAAAATTCATATCGAACCCAGTTAATAACATAATACATAACATGCAAAATATCTAAATTGTACTCTACAGCTCATCAAATACTGGTGTTTGCCATAGGCATATGAAAGTGTTAATTGTCAGGCATTGTTGAAAATGCCTTAACACATGATCAAGAAACCAGCTCTAATTTTAATGTAATTTTAGATGCTTCATAGTCTAATCTACTGTATTAACTAATTTACTAAAACTTCTCAGGTTCTGGAGTTGCCTTGTTTTTGTGCACTGGGTTAAAATATTCTGAATATTATGTATATCAGTTGGATAAAAATATCAAATGGTTATAATAATAAAAAATAATTATGCTTTTACAGGTTTTTCTCCCATCATGGTTTTTTGTCAAGTTTATTCACTTAAACTTGAGATTAAATTTCATTTTTTATTCTTTCACAGCGAGGAATCTGTGCTGGTCAGGATGCATTTAAAAATTTGTACTGGTACTTAGATGGTAGGTATTAATTTTCATTCTTTGTATATTGCATATTCAGAAGTTGTTTAGAAGGTGTGTTGTGTGTGTGTCTATATATATAGTGAAAGATTCAAAGATGAAAATACAACTCATTGCATGGGTTTTATACAGTTTGTGATTTTAAGTATTAATCCTCTGTACATGGGTGTAGGTCAAAATGCATATACCATGATCTTTTCAGAGTGCCATTCAGTATGGTATTATACATTTAATGTCAGAGTTATCAACTTTTTTTTCATTTTACCTTGCATATTTAATGGCAGTTCATGGTAGAGGTGATTAAATACTAAATAATGTACAGGAATACTGAAAAAACAAAAAACTGTAGATACATATTTTGGAGGTCCTTGGGGTTATACAAATGCATTATGCAAACTGTATGATGGACAAAAGTATCCTCATTCTTCGTATAAGTATTACCTTCTACTCTGACTTGTCAGAGTCTGAGTTAGACTGGCATTATCAGTTCATAGACATAACATGATTACAAGTGCTTTTGTAACACATCTGAATCTTTTGTGTAGAACATACTTTGACTAAAAGCTTGCTTGCTACAATCCCATGTACATTTAGTCATTGAAAAATATCTTGACAGTGCTGCAATGGTATTGTTTTAAATGGTGAGTGTATTTAAAATAGATTGAGTTGTATATTGATTATAGTCTTCTGGAAATTTCCTAATGCAGAATAGATATTTTTTTTTACTCCATTTAGTTTAAATATTAGCATTAAACTCTTATTGGTTGGATACTTAAATAATAATAATAAAATACATTGGAATACTCCTAAAAACATTGAACTATATATAATAATACTTTGTAAAGCTTGGTGAAAAATAAATGTCACAGGGAACTTCACTATATTACAATTTTAATTGTATAATTTATTTAAATTTTGTGACTTCAGATCTTCGGCTATATCGAGATAATTCCTTTAAGAAGCCTAGCAAGAAAGAGTGGGAGTGTGTGTGTGTATCACTTGCTGATTGGCAGTCATTTCTTAAACAGTTTAGAAAAACTACAAACCTTCAGGAACGTGAATTGCATACTTACCTCAACTATCAGTTGTTCCCTTTAATTGAAAGCCAACTGAAGGTGGGTTTTTGTTTACATTAGATGTGTTGCTAAACAAGGTGGTGATCTAGGTAAAGGCAGTGCTTAGTTTTTGTTTGATTTTGAAGGTATTATGTAAGAAGGCAATACAGTTAATGGTAGAAATCAAGTTTCTGTGAGAAGATGTGCTAAGCTGGTGGTGAAGACTTTTGTTTGGCTGTTTTTTAGTTTTTTTTCTTACATAGAAATTAAAAGAAATCTTTCATTCTACAAAGATTCTATCATATTAATTTAAATGCATAAAATAAAGTCAGGTGCCATTTTAGTTGGAGTTTGTTGTGATCTGCAGTTCATTAGCCTTGAGTATTTTGTATTATATGTTTCTACATTTGTTTGATGGTCTTTTTTGGTTTGTATAATGCGGTAGTTTATATATGGGAATAATTTTATTTGGTTGCAGTGAAATTTTTGCTTTTTGAAATTTGGTCTTATTGTTGGAACAAAATATTTCAGAACATATGTTGAAAACATTGATCAGGTGTTATAGCATTACTCATAAGGAATATTTTGGTTGATTAGTGTATTTTATGATATTTAAAAGTATTGTAATTAAAACTACAAATGCTTATCAAAATTTATTCTGAACTTCAACAAAAATGTGTATAAACATTGCAGAATTGCTTACATAACTGTACAGATTTGCTTCATAAGTTCTTTCTAGCTCAAACATATTCTTCTTAATTCATAAAGAGTATATAACATTCATTTATGCTTTTATTTTTCTGGTTATCTGTGTTCTTTAAACATACAAATACCAAACATAAATCTTGGAATATTTTTGTATAATTTTTGATGTTTATTTCTTATTGTACAGTGTTTTGGGTATATGTAACTGACACTTTACTTGCAGTAATTATTATTTCAGTAAAGTAAAGGTAAGAACCTAAAATCTTTTTTATTTATTTAGTTGTATTATTAGTCACACAGTTTTAAATATTTAACATAGAAAATAAAATAAGTGATTATTTATTGTTAAGTGATGTTGCAACATTTTTCTTGTTAAAACTGTACATGCTTCATTCTCAACATATTTCATAATAGATTGGATTGGACTTTAACAAATTCCGAGATAGTTTTTGTGTTGTTTTTCTTGAGAACCCAGTGTAGTTTCGAGTTGATTAAACATACATATTTACAGATTTGTGAAGTTTGGTTATGACATTTTTAATAGTTAAGTAGGTAAAAAAAGTAGCATGAAGATACATTTCGTAACCTGGAAACTGGTAGATTTATATGAGAAAAATCTAAGGTACTTTTAATTACTTGGATTGAATATATTTTAAAAACGTTCCATTAGCTTAGGTGAGTTTGAGGAATTCCACACCTCATTAGGGAAAGACAAAGAACAACATTGGCATCTTTAATTCATCTTTATGCATTAAAAATAACCTATATTCAAATATTTTTTTAAAAATGAATTAACATTAATGCTGCTCAATGATCCTTCTGTACTAATCAGTGGACAAACTGTTTGAAATGATGGATATGAATGTAGTTTATATGTTGTGAGTAAAGGACAATTCAAGCATTTTCTACATGTATGCTCAGTTTCTTTTATTTTTTCTTATTGCAGGACCTTGAGAATAAAGAGAAGAATCAAGAAGCTGAGAACTTGAAGCTATTGAAGCAAGAACAGAAAGAAGTTAGGAAAATGTTAGAAAAAAAAGTCACATGTAGTGGAACTGTTGCAACTTTAACAAATGTGAATGGCATAGACTCGTTATGTCATGAAAACATTAATAAAACAATAAAAACTTCCAGTGAGGCTACTGAAAATGGCCTAGAGGAGTTTTTGCCCAAAGTTGAGGCAACAAAGATTGAGCGTGACATCAAAATGAACCTCAGTGAGGAGGGCAAAGGGTTACTTGTAAATAATAATAGTACTGGTGCTAAAATAGTGAATGGAAGTGCTGATATCTCTTCCAGTGTTGTGAATAATTCATGTAGCATTCTCTCTTCGAATCCATGCAGCACAAGTGGACAAGAAGGATGCCAAGAAGCGGGAAAGGTAACTGTTAATGGAAGTAATTGTTCCACTTCTGGTAACCCTGGGAGTAATACCCAAGCATTGGAGAATTCTCAAGATGGTAAGTTTGAAATACCATCCTCTTAACAGTTTTTACAGCTTAGGCATTTGAACAGAGATTGATGGAAGGAAATAATAATAGTTTAGCTGTAGATTTCATCAGTTTATTGAAATCTTGTTTACTTGATACTTCAATGAGCTGTAAACAGAATTTTTCCTGTAGTTGTTTCAAGATTTAGCAATCCTGATAGCAATACAGTGTAGTAAATTTTATAGCATTTTATATCTTGTGTTATTTTTATCTTTGACCCAAATTTTATTTTAATCTAGTTGATAATGAAAAGTAATTTTTTTTACTTCCATGGATAACATAAAAAAAGAGACTTACTTTGTCATATCTATTATGATCTATGTAGAATTTGAATTATAGTTGCATATGAATCTCATAGAGTAGGAGACATATATTTGTGGGCAAATGTTAATCATTTCAGTAATAGCCATATAGTTTGTGTACTAAGCGTAGCTCAGAATTCTGTTTGGATAAATATTTTTGTTCCCTCACCATAGGTTAGAGAGCTAGGTAAATAATATTTTACTTACAGCTGCTGAAGACCAGTTAGTTTATAAAAAATGTGCACAAAATGGATGTTATATACATTTGTTTAATAAGCAGTAATGTAAATAAGTAAATGGAAATATCAATCCAGTAATATCTACTGACATAAGTATCAGGTAAAGAATAGTGTATTGTATATTATGTTAGTCTTATCATTTACAAATTATTCTGTGAGATAACTATAAATACTGATCATTAGTTGTAATTATGAAAAACAACAACACTACAAAAATTGAAATCTTTTGAAATTTGTGTTTAAATTTTTTATAGTTTGGTACACAACAGTGGTTATAGATCCAAACCCATTGACACCTTTTATACTTAGAGGTGGTTAGTAGATTTAGTTAAAACCTTACTTATTCAGGTTACTTACACAAACTGGTCATTCTATCAGTATTTATTATTGTATTGTGTGCATATCTACCCACCTACCTATCTATCTACCTAGGTTAAATGTTCATAGTAACATTAATTTAAGCTCAATTTTTTTTAACGTTGTTTAACCTTTTTGCAATGGGTGCTCCTTTAACTCTTTCAGCACAGGCTTGGTCCCTGGGACCAACCTCGTAACCATTTTTGTGCTGGTTATAGTTTTCATGCTATAACTTTTAAATTTGTGAGCGAATGTTAATGAAATTTGGCAGATTATCAATAAACATTACAATGCTTTCATATGCAAAATATCAAATTTTCTTAAGTCCTAAGGTTTGTAAAGCTATGTTTTTCTGGTGTCTTTTTTTTTTCTTTTTTGCATGTTGCCTATCTATCATGCAAAGTGATAGTTATTTTAAGATTAAAAATACTTTTATGCTTCAAAAAATGTTGAAATTTCACATGCAAAATCTTTACAATGCTCAAATAGTTATCAAACATTTCTTAAGAAAATTTTTTATATTTTATCCCCTATTTTCAGTAATTAATCTCTGTACGGGAATGATAGATTTGACCGATCTCTCAACCATCATCAAAAATTAGGAAATAAATATAAATTATGCCTCTTTCATTCTAGAATGCGAAAACATAAATGTTTAGATTAAATAGCTCTCAACCATCATCAAAAATTAGGAAATATTTATATATTATGCCTCTTTCATTCTAGAATGAACACAAATTATAACATGAAAACATAAATGTTTAGACTGAATAGCTTAAATCTCATAACATTATACATTTATATATATATATATATATATATATATTTATTTATTTATTTATTTATTTATTATTGTTATTATATTGACCTTTCAGCCATACCTGGCTAACAATACAGAAGTTACAATGATGTGGCTCACGTGCACTTATGTTACCATATCAAATAACATAAAACTGACCTTCGGTCTATACAAAGGATCTTGTCTTGGCTGTGTTTTAGTAGACTAGTATTTTGTAAAACACAGTCACATTTCAATTATTATACAGTATATACGTATATAGATTATTCTTATTTTGAAAGAAGTTCTATAACTTATTTTTCATAAAACACAGAACAGTAACTAAAGAAGTAAAGCAAACAATTATATCTTCTAGTTACATCCTTTGTACTCAGTTGCTGCTTTATGTAGGTTGGTAAGCCTTTAAAAAATTTGCACATGGAGGAAATATATACGCTATATATACATTTGAATAACGAAAGAATCATAAATTACTACATTAATACCATAGAATTTTACTATAATTTATTAAGCTTAGTAACTAAGATGTATTTTAGTTAAAAAAAAAAATGAAATTCCGAGCAGACTAAAGACACACCATACGTTGTTGAAAAATATTGATTCAAAAGAAAGAAATGGTGCCAAGCATGTTAAAATGGCTGAGAAAGCTACTAGGGGGACATTCTGTGCTTCCGATTGGTTATTCATGTCATATATAGATGTATGTGTATATAAGGGAGCATTTCCAAAAATGGAAAGAGGTGGTAGAGGGTGCCACTGTCTTTGATTTATTACATGAGAAATACCTTAGCAAATTGAAATGATAAGAGACTCTTATTTTATATTCTATCTTGTCATTCTGAGCATCTGATTAGTTATTCATGTCATATATAGATGTATGTGTATATAAGGGAGCATTTCCAAAAATGGAAAGAGGTGGTAGAGGGTGCCACTGTCTTTGATTTATTACATGAGAAATACCTTAGCAAATTGAAATGATAAGAGCCTCTTATTTTATATTGTATCTTGTCAATATCGGCAATTTTAGTTTGCAATTTTACTTCACAAACATATAATTTGAACCAGTAATGCATTCAAAATACCATGTGACAAACAAAAATTGATATCTGAGTTTTTTGTATATTTGCTTTTAAATTAAGAAATTGAATAATATATAGT